GGCCATGGGGGAGGGAGGGCCGACGACTCCAGGGGGCCGACCAACGGCGGCAGAGCAGGTGGTGGAGGAGCCAGAGGTGGAGACGGAGAGCCGATGAGCCAGGGCGACGGGTAGGATCCGGAGGGTCAAGGCGGAGCAGATGGTGGCGGGGATCCAGAAGGCTGCGGTGGAGCCGGAGCGACAGAGGACCCAGGTGGAGCCGAAGGAATGGAGGAGCCTGACAGAGCCGGAGGGATGAAGAGACGAGGCGAAGCCGGAGGAGTGGAGTCCCGAGGTGACAGATGGTCGATGACAGACCAAGGCGGAGCTGGAGGGACGAGGGAGCCCGGCGGAGCCAGTGGACTGATGGGCCACGGCAGAGAGGAGGGAGCTAGGAGCCATGGTGGAGCCGCTGGGTCGACGGGCCGAGGCGGAGTCCGGGATTCAGAGGCTAGAGGTGGAGGCCAGGGATTCTCCAGCCACGGTGACGATGGAGGATGGCAGACCCGCGGAGCTCGCACCGTACTGATGGTGGGCTGAGGGCGAGCAGAGGGGCTGCCAGACAACAGCGGTGGAGGAGGCAGAAGCAGGCGGGTGGGCGGGCATTTGTGAGCCTTCGGGCTTTCAGGGCTAAACTCTGGAACAGGAGCCCTCTCTGGTGGGGACAGGGAAACCGGAGCCCCCTCTGGGCAGGACGTGGGAACAGGAGTGACAGAGGGCTCCGACCAAGGAGGGAGGAGAGGGGGCAGGTCGGCATATAAGTCCTCCAATTCTCCTCCAGGGTTGCACAGTCCCAGATCCAAAATTAGCTCACCCTCAGCCCTGATGCAGTGGGCGGAGCTCCTCTCTGCGATCTCACTGGCCACGGCTTTCTCCCTCGTGGCGGGCGTGGTAGCCGGCTATCGCACCTGGTCTGATGTCATCAGCAGCTCCGGCTCCGTGGCGATGGCTCGTCGGTTGCGGCGGGCTTGGGCTCTCCGTCATCAATGGGCTCGGGCTTCAGCTCCGCGCAGTGGGGAGATGGTGGGCTGGGCTCTGGGTTGGGAGTGGAACTGGCGAGATTCTCCTGGGAACAGACAGGGAACGGAGATCCATTTCTCGCCAGTGTCCACTCCACAAAGTCGGTGAAATTCGCTCGAGGACCATCCTCAGACGACGGCGCTCTGCACGCGGTGTTCAAACTGGCGTCGTAGAACGCACAGAGCGCATCGTCTGGGTAGCTGGTGAGACTCGCGAGGACCAGGAACAGTCTGGTATGGCCCTCGAGCGATCTCTCCCCCTGCTCCAGCAGGAGGAGGAGGTATTTAGGACGGGCGAGGGGATCCATGAGGAACAACTGAAACAAAAAACACTGGGTAAAATGGAGAAACAAAATGGAGGGGAAACTCACAGTAATACTGTATGTCGGTCCGGTGTTCTGTCACGATTGCCTACGGAGAGGAGCGAGGAACGAGGAGAATGCAGGAGATAATTTTACTAATCCAAACAGAGGAACAGACGAGTAGCACTACATCGGACGTTAGACACCGGCAAGGGGCAGACCACTATAAATACAACTCAACGAGGTAATAAATGAGACACACCTGGGATCAATGAACACAATCAGAACAGGAGCAGGAAGAACCAAATATGGGCACATGAGGGAGAAAACACACACAAAACAGGTCCATAATCCTGACACTCGGCAACTAACTGAAATAAATACATTTATGTTGAAGAGCTTAAACTACTAAAATTGAAATGAACATTAATTAAAGCTATATAGAAATATTAAAAAGAAAAAGACTAAAATTAAAATGAAAGCTTAAAATATAAAAAAACTAATTCAAAATATTCATAAATACTATGATAGTACACTGTAAAAATTATTTTTCGAACATGTAAATAAAACAGATTACTGCATGTGTTTGTTTTATAAGAATACTAATTCAGTCTTTCTGCTTCAAAATTTCAAGTTTAATTCAATGTGTTAAATGTGTTCTTTGTAATTTACTAGCAATTTCTAAATGAAATTTTTTTTCAGTGTACAGTGTATATAAATTATACTGAAATAAGCCTGGTTGACAAATTTTTAGGGCATATTATACATCTCTTTATATTCTAAAATTCATTGGGAAGGAATAATAATAATAATAATAATAATAATATAATATATGAAGCTGAGAAGTTTGTTCCTCATTTATAGTTTATCCAACTGAAGGAAATGCAATACAGCTGAATTTAGAGGTTGATACAGCCCATCAACATAGGTTTTATTAATGCGTGCAGAAAAAAATTACAAGGTGATAATTCTTTTGGTGAATTTAGCTTTTAAATTCTCCTTGCTCAGATTTAACCAGTTACATCTGAATTTGCTTAAGGGAAATGGATAGATGAGAGGATGGCTATGTATGAGGCTTCCTGCTGTGCTCTCCTCTGCTTTAGGAGAAAGTAGACAGGTGTGTGTGTGTGTGTGTGTGTGTTAGGTAAAAGGAGTAAATGGATGAGGCTGAGTGCCGGGGAGGGAATTTTAGCCTTTAAGCTATCACTCTGGCATCTTACACAGGTTTAGAGAGGGATAAAGAGAAAATGAGAGTGTGTGTTGAATAAATAAGCAGCAGTACAGGCCTCTGCTTGCTGTCGTCCTACAACCACGCTCTATCTTTCTGGCTGCATTCATGTGCATTCTTCTTTCTCACTGTGGGTCAAGTCAAGTCAAGTCAAGTCAAGTCTGCTTTATTGTCAATTCTTCCACATGTACAGCACGTACACACAGAGAATTGAAATTGTGTTACTCTCAGACCCTTGGTGCATACAGATAACACTAACAGTAGAACATAAATACAGATATACAGATTAAATATAAAATACAACTATACAAATATACAAATAAGGTAAAATGTAAAAAAATATA